TGGCTCATGTTGGGTGGTGGCTCATGTTGGTGGTCACTCCTTCTTGTTTACTGGCTGGCTTACTTCCTGAGATGCCTTCCCTCACCTGCTACTGCTGTGTGGTCACCAGGGGGAACAGTTCACAGAGGAAAAGCAAGACCCATACTGGTTCTTTCCTTGTATTTTCCAGTTTTCAGGATCATGATCTAACTCTTATCATTCTCCAAAGAAAACACACACACACACACACACACACACACCAGTGTAAACTTGTGATTGGAACCAATTTGATGAGACTGGATCCATTGTCACTATCATCCTTTTGTTAAAATGCAAAATGTTCCATCCTTGTCCAATCGGGAAATGGTGCCTGGGTCCTTTGGGCCTGATTCTAGTGCTTCTTGAAGGCTTCTGGCTATCTGAGAGGACAAGGTGTCCAGCCTCATCTTGACCTTTTACTGCCAAGACCTGGACTCAGTCATCGCTCCAAGAAATTCTGCATTTTTTTTTCCCAGAAAACTGTATTTGAAGACCACAACCAGGATATTGGTGATGCCCAGTGGCCCTGGATTGGTCATTGTTCCTAGGCCTCGTAAGTGGACATTTTCATACATAAAACGCAACATGAGTTCACGCTGATATTTCCAATTTGAAGTAAGGATCACATGGTTTTTAGCTTAAGCTTTTCCACATGACCAAAGAATCTTCTTTGTTCCACAATAGGATCCCAATTTTCAAGGACACAGAGAATGACAGAATATCCCCTAATTACTCATTTCATTTAACCCACATTTCACACAGGAGATACTCAAATTATCATCACTAACATAATTACTGAAAACAATTTCTTTGATATGTCCTCTCTCTTCTACTTGGGTTTTAAAGTGCTACCTCTCCGTTGTCTAAGCTATACAACAATTCATACAAACTCTTTCTGTTATAACGGTCATTTAGTTATAATTTTACAAATAATCACTTGTGCAGTGCTTGCATGTTCCTAATAGCCTGTGGTCTTCATTTACAAAGTCAGTTTTGCTAGGTATAAAATCCTTGCTCTACATGTTCATGAGTGCCCTACGTATGCTATTTAATTTTCTTTCCCCCTTAGGATCACTTTCTGTCTTTGTCCAGATGTTCACGTTTTTCTTCCCTTTTATTTAAAGTCCAAAAATTTTACTAGAATAGGTGTTGGTTGCTCTGGGTTGACAGATATTCTCAGGTATGTGGTACATTCTTTCAATATAGAATTTCAAATCTATTTTTTTACTTTATGGAAAGTTTTCTTGATTTATCATTTATAGTGTCTCCTCTTCTGTTTTGGGTTTCCTCCTCAGAGATTCCTGTCATCTGTATGATTGATCTGCTTTGCATATCTTGAATCGACACTTTTTTCTCTAAGCCTTCTTGAAAAGACATCTTTTGTTATTTTTCCTTTGATTTTTAAAATTTTTTGTTCATTTCAACTTGTTTTTCTTAAGTGTTTATTAACTTTTGTATTTCTCCTAGGTTATTCTTTCTGAAATTATTTTAAAAATATTTAAAATTATGTCCTCAGTCTACGACCACATTTCTCAGTTTATCCTAATTCTAATGCACTGCTTCTTCCGTACCTTGATCACTTTAGCACTTCTAGTTTGTTTCAAAGATAGAATATTAGTCTTTTCAAATTCTCTGCATGTTTTTTTTTTAATGTGCTTTCGTTATCCAGAGGGATATCATTCTGGTCCTGCTTAATTTTTTTCCTTATAATAACTGCACGTATAGTTTGCTGGAGTTGTTGTAAGAGAGTATCGCAGAGTGGGTGTAACAGCAGACACTCATTGTCCTGGAGACGGACAGTTCAAGGCCCTGGGGTTGGCAGGTGGGTTTCCCGAGGCCCCTTTCTTGGCTTGTAGCACTCTGCCTTCTTGCTGTGTCCTTGCATGTTTTCCTGGAGTCCTCCCCACATAAGGACCCTCTCAGATGACCCTGTTTCCACCCTGGTTACTTCTGAAGACCCCGTCTCTAAGTGAAGTCACATTAAGACATACTGGAGGTCAGGACTTCCGTGGGTGGATTTTGAGGGGGACACAGTTCAACCCATACACTCGCAGGAAGGAACACAC